AGTTTAGTTACAACTTTGTTATAAAATCAACCACATTTCATGTTTCGGTTAAGGTCGAAATAGGTAAAATCAAACTAGTAAATCTCTGTGGGAACAATACCTGGACTCTAAAATCCATTTTATTACTTGAACGATCCGTACACTTACGGTAGTTTTTATTCGAAATATATTTTCGATGAACACCCCTTTTGTAGCCTATTTCTCTAGCTTTTTAGTTTTAAGGAAAACGATGTGGGATGGGTGGTATAACAAGGTGGAATAGATTTTTTTTTCCTTTAATTTTTTTTGAATTTTATTACCTCCTCCTCCTCCTTCAAATTTTCCTTATTTTCTAATTTTTTTATTATAATAACAAACTAAAATGCCATAAAAGTATTTATTCAACTCAACTATTAATACTTTTGTATTTTGTCAATTTTTTTGATATATCTATATATTAATTAATTTTATTTAATATTAGCGGTTCAACCGCGATTTGATCAGGTTCAACCTTTTAACCCTTAACTTCTTCGAGTCTATGGCGATGTAGATGTTCAAAACGTTGAATCTAAATAATTGTGCCAAACATGCTAGCCATTCATAACATCTAGCAAGCCTACTTGTGTCCAAGTTCATAAAACATTTCAAACGAAGATGAACTCTTGCATGTACTGATGGAGAAGCACTGCCCAAGCAGTTAGTTGTCATAAATATCTATCAATGAATTCAAAAAATTGACGATGATATCGTCCAACTAGAAGTTGGTTGAGATTTTAACTCATTTTCTTCGGCATAATGTCAAATCTATAAAATGTCAAAATTCGTTGAAAATAATTACATAATTACCAAGTCCATGTTGGGTTTAACTAAAAAAAATGATAAAAAATTAATTTGAAGTCGGCAATTAATTTTAGTAACATGTTTTATACGACTTTCTACTTTCATCAACTTCAATCTACATATTTTATCAATTTTTATCAAAAATTATAAAAAATATAATTTTTAACAAAATCGAACAGGAATTAAAGCAGCTCGTGCACATTACGTCAACCACAACTAGAACCAAACCTACTCGATAAATGTTGTACGTTTTGAAAGCTACATTTCCCTATTTCTTTCAAGATATGCAGTACACTTTACCATCTGCACTTAACACATCATTATAAATGACCACTATTGTGCACGTGATTGTAACTCCTTGTTTTTTACCCTCTTTACATTTTGTAAATTTTTACGATGAAAAAACAATAAAGACATTTGATCTCCATTTTTTTCCTCGTCGACGATCAAACACACGCTTAATCTGTCTACTATTATAATAGATATTAAAAAAAAATTGTTTTATTCAAAAATTATTTGGAAAGGGGAATCAAGTTCGAATATGGTTAATCTCCATATTTCGATGTTTGACAGTTAATAACTGCTTTTAAACTAGTCGAATTTTATTTTTATGCACACATTCTACCAGACTCGTAAGCGTTACATATTTTTTAAATAATTATATTCTTTGAAACTTAGTGTCGATTTGATATATATTAATTTATTTTATTATTCGCCATAAAATTATTTTCAGTCATACATTTTCACAATAAAATATTTTATACGTATAACGGATTTTTTTCCAATTTTGTAATCACATATTATCTTAAAATGCTATTCAAAACTCATTTTTTTTCCATATTAATGAGAATCAAACATTAACCCTAATATTTTGTTGTCACACACATACAATTTTGAATTCAAATCTTAATAATTAATTAATTACAACAAAATTCAGTACATATTTATTGCCTGTCTAGTGGTCTGTGAGCAATTAATAACTTATTTAGCTTAATTAATTAGGTCAACTTCTGGTCTCTACTCAGTCTAACAGCTGAGATTTGCAAACAAAACCACATCACACGTACGATTTCAGACAGCCATTTAAAACCTGTTTAAATCAAATTAATCTTAATTAAAAGTGTGATATTTTCACCAATGCCTACTCAACTTTATACTTGGTGTCACTTTAGCCACTTAAATATAATTTGTTTCAGCCGAACTTTACAAAACGTTACTTTCAAACCACCGCCTCATTTTGACACCATTTTTAATATAGATTTCATGGAACCCATGATTTTTATCAAATTTTCAATCATACATTTCATCAATTTTTATTTTATTAAAAATTTGATTTCTAACTAAACCAAACTAGGTTGAATATGTTTTTCTACCAAGTCGTAGGTTTTAACTAAAAACATAAAAAGAATAATGCTATTCATTCCCAGTAGGGTTGTAAACCCAGTTTATGTGACTCTAAATGATAGGTTAAGTGAAATGTGAAATTAAATGACTTATGACTTATTTAATTTCACTTATCATTTATTACCACATTAACGCCACCTAGATTGTGGTTGTAACCCCAATGAGGATAAATATCATTACTCAAAAAATAACTATTGGTTTGATTACTTGGCACACTAACACGTAGGGTTTTCAATTAAAAATGGACGTTGAACAGAATTGGTGACTCGAATGAAACATTTTGTGAAGTTAAGAGACGAGTCTGAAACAAATCAAAGTTTATACGAAACAAGACAAAATTAAAACCTTTGTTTAATCAAACTTGAGATTCAAAAAACCAGTGCATGAAGCATCCAAGTTTCTTCTTTTCCATCTCAAAATTACAGAGTATTCCCTTTTGCAGAACTCTCTCTCTCTCTCTCTAGAACTGCAAATGCTTAATTTTACATTGAGATCTTCACCATAAGAAGCTACCTCTCAGTTTCATTCTGTTAGGATTTTGCCCTTTTTAAATCCCCTTTTGTGCTCTTTCATTCTCTACAAAGTTCCACCATTACTTCCTTAGTAAAAGCTTTCTCTCTAGTATCTCTTTCAACTATACAGAGATATGAAAATCACTTAAATGCATTCTGATTTTCTGCTCATTCTGAAACAATCAGCTTTTTCATTAAAATCATTTTGCTTCACTTCAAATAGAAACTGAAAACCCTACCCTTTTTTCTGCTTAATTTCAAGGATTTGAAGATGATTAAAGAAAAGGGAATAAAGCCGTTGTTACTGAAAGATTACTTGTTGGATGATTTCAGTTCATGTTCATCAAATGGGTTCAAATCATTTCCAAGAAGACAATGTTGCTCTACCGTTCGATTCCTTATCGACATTGACTTGAAAAACAAGAAAAATCCACCGCCCCTTTTGAAAAACCCATCAAAATCTGCTTCATCAAAGGCTCTTAATTCAGCTTTTCAATGCATCATCAACGCCGTGAAACACCTCCCATTGGCCGCCAAGTCATCGGCGGCGGCCCAGAAAAAGTTAAAGAAATCAATTCTACCCAGGAGTCTTTCTAAAAAGATCCTCAAGAAAAGTTTTTGGAAAAGAACAAGTAGTCACCGAGAAATCGAACGGTGGAATTCGCTTGATCATTTGGTGAAGGAGAAAACAGAGCCATTGAGTTCAGCAAGTGATAGCAATGACGGTAAAAGTAAAACTAACAGCTGGTCTGATAGTGATTTTACTGCCTCAGCCTCAGACGATTCTTCACAGTTTTCAACTAAGGTGCCACACGACGTCGTACATGAGAAGGTGGTGGTTGCTCTATCAAACGACGACGTATCTATGGACTCAATTACCACCAGTGAGGCCAGTGCCAGGACCAACTCTAGTCAAACAAAGGTGAGTTGTTAGTTGATGAACTAATTTACTTGCTTCTATTTTAAACTTTGATTTTATATTAAATCTTCCATCTTGTATCATAATAATAAGATAAATGAATAAAGTTGTGTACCGAAATTGGTGCTTATAACTTGTCTAGTGGAGGCAAACGACGAATCACTCGTCGATTCGTAGGATCAACTTGTTCTAGCTCAACCAATGAAACTGCTTGTGCTCATTTTGAGATGAGCATTAGGTCTAGCCGAGCTCAATTTTTTTCCACAAGCTAGGTCATTTGGACTCGTGGACCGACTCATTTTTTTCCTCATTGTCCGTCTAGTTGATAGTAAAACAGGGACGGATGGAGGGGGGTTGTGCCGGGCTACAGCTCCCCCCCCCCCCCCCCCCCC